ACCTAACTTAACAGCATGAAGAAAGACCTGGCATTCATCAATCTAACTCCTCAGGGTGGCCGTCGCAACCAGCCGAGAATCACCAGATTCATTTTTCAGAATGGCCGGGAACTCGAGAATTATGTCCAAGAGTTCATCAACTGCATTCCCTGGGCAGCTGGGGATGACCTCACTTTAATGGAGGGCTTTTGGATCAGGCTTGACGACAGGATCCGGTTCGTAACGCCCAGGGCTGATTCGTGTTGGACGCTGGAGTCCTATATCAACTTTGCCCTCTGGATAGTTGAATCAACATTCACCGTAGGTGAAGTGGCCGTCGACCTTAAGTCCTCACGCATCATGACCACAGAATCAAAGTTATCACCTGTCATGGTCGCCGAACAAGAACCTTCTCAGAAACTAACCACTGTCCATTGATCTCATTCTAATATGGCTGCCTCTCTAGAGACCGTTTCTGTTTGTCCTTTCACTCCAGAATCAACTTCTGTCCGTAACCCTGACCCTAAGCTCATTCAAGTTCCTGTGTCAGTTCCTGAACCTGTTCCAATCCCTATGTATGCTCCGAAACCCTGTCCAGTTCCTGTCTCCGAGCCAGAACCCAATCCAATCCTTAGAGCAGTCCAAGAATCCTGTATCAACCATAAGTTACTTTCAAGTTCCCAATCATTCCAGTTTACTTCCCACGTCTACATCTACATGAGAAATCCCCCCAGACCTGACCCGTAAAGCAATGCACAGGCAAGACATGATTCCGGACCCTGACCAATGTTCAGTGAAGTCCCCAGTGTCCCTAACTCTAGTACTGTGCCTGAGATTATCCCAGAATGCTCTCCAGAGCTCAAATGGTAGCCCATGTCAAGCCCACCGGCCACTGCTCACTCAAGTTCGCCAGCCGCCCTATTCACCCGTAACGAGAAGCGGAGGATGAGGAGAACTGGTTGGCTCAGGGCCCTCCTTGCCCGAGAGCGCAAACGTTTCTTCCAATCAATTCTTCGTCAAATGTATCATATTCTTGTTATAGAAATCATGTCCAAAATTATACTCTGCAAGAGCGGGAAGATTCGGACCATGTGACTGATAAGATCACATGTTGATTTATGAATTGGGAGGAGAAACATACAACTCGGGGAGCAAAGACAATATCTAATTGGTCAAGGCACCATTTGGGATGTGGTCAACAACCCGGTTTAAATCCTCAGGACACCATCAAATTATGCTTTTAGCCAGTGCTTTTTTAGCTTTTGCTTTTTAGCCACTGCTTTTAGCTTTTAGCTATGCTTCTAGCCTTTTTGCCACCGTGTTTTGACGCTGCTTTTTAGCACTCTTTGAGTGTGCTCTGACTTACACGCCAGCAGCTCCTCTAAAACCATGAGGAGAAAACCATCTAGTCTCGTTACTTATATTCTTCTACTTTAATTTATTTTCTTTTCCGCTGAGAGTTTCGTGTTCTGAGTTAAGATTTGTCTGTGAGTCTGTGACCGCCTCAAAACTTCAAGCAGCCCACAACTCCGCATCTTCAGCCAACGCCCAACCACTGCCTTCCCAAGACGTCACTTCAATGACTACTGAACTTCCAGCCAATCAGCAACCTCTGTAAACCCCCCTTTTCTGCAACGACGACAAGGGAACGTCTTTGGTTACTATGGTAACCTCGGTTCCCTGAGAGCGGGAACGAGACATCACGGAGACATTTCTCCGTTATGGGAACTCCTTCCCTTCCAACCTTTCTTGAAGTCCTATTGGCTAACGCCAGTCCAAATGACTGGCCAATTGCCGCGAACCCGGAGACGTTCCCTCTCGAGCTTTCACGAGACATCACGGAGACATTTCTCCGTTATGGGAATGATATTCAATCCCGCCGTGAGAGAGGCTACGAGCAGCCTGAACCAGTTACATCCTCAGCGAAGATAGAACACACAATTCCCACAACCAATAGCGACGCTTGTTAGGCGGGCTCGCAACTGATAGGTGGAGTTAAGCCAATGAGCGTCTAAAGCCCAGGTATACAAAATTTGTATATCTGGTCAGTAATAGCGTATGCTGCGCTGAGAACAGGGCAGTAGCAACAGTACTGTAAGGGACTGCACAGACATAACTGTGTTTAGCAGCATAACACATAACATGATAATGGTAGTACGAAGGGAATCAGACATGAATAACAGGAAGCTGTACTGAGTACAGGGCAGACAACAACAACAATAGCATAGACGGCTGCACAGAGTAACTACTGCGCGATGCAGCAACACACATGAATAGAGGTTGCATAAACGTAAATCAGTCACTCACCGACAGCACTTGGGAGGCTAAGGACTGAACGTCCATCTTGTAAAACCTGGCGAAGGTATTCTGAGAAGACCAGCCGGCTGCAAAGCATATATCTTGAATAGACATATAGATAGTGATTTAGGCACGTAGCCCGGCCTCGGCCGGAGAGTGACGCTGCAGTCACCGGGTCCGAAGTGAATACAGTCGCTGTCCACAGAAAACGCATGTAAATCCCCTATGCGCTTAGCCGAAGCGAGGGCAAGAAGAAGTGCACTTTTGAGAGATAGCTCCCTCATATCAACGGATGCTAAAGGCTCGAATGGTGGCTGTGAAAGAGCTCTTAACATCACCTCTAGGTCCCAGGGCGGGACTAAAGACGGACGCGGGGGATGCAATCTCCTCGCTCCCTTAAGGAAACTCACCACCAGCACGTGCCTAGCGATCGATTGCCCGCCCAGCG